ATAGGAGCAAACCATGAGTTGGGAAATTTTTATACTTTATTTTGATATTCCTTGTATTCCTGAAAATATTTGTTTTACGTTACTTCTGTTCGAAGGCTATAGGATTATTCTTCTATAACTAGACATCGGGCAAGTTTTAAGTTTATGGAGAGTGTAAGCCAAGGCAAAATATTTTGATAGTTCAAACATTCTTTTATCGATTATATTGAGTTTATCATATTCTAACAACACAGAAAAATAATAGAACTTGTAATTTATTGAAAACAAATTACATTTATTAGATAAATATTTGTCTCAACCAACAATATTTTTCCAAGAATTAATATACTGTATTTGTCTGAATATAATGCGTACTCAATTTTGAAAGGTGAAATTCAAGGAAATGTTTTTCTTACACATCAGTTGTTCAAAATGCATTGGATAGTTTCTAAATACAGTAAACAACTATCAATGTATTAAACATTTTTAGAAATCTTTCACTGAAATTTTTTTTACATATCCATTTTACAAAATTTATTGGAAAGTTTATACGTGGTAATACACTAAGCTAATCATTCATTTTCACATAAATCTTTGTAATTGCTAGACTTGTCGCTAACATGGAATTCATTGCATTAATCCAATTTTCTTCCTTGAATCTTTGCTTCATCCTCTTCTGATTCCCATAACATGTCATCATCCATCCCATCAGATATGCAATATTTTTGTAAACCTTTAATGATACTTCGATATTTTTGGTAATAGCTTCTGATAAACTACCTAACAAAATTGAGCATGTGCACATATAATGCACAAACAATTTGGAGGGGAAAAAGTGCACATAATATTCTGGCAAATAAAGTAGTACTTGACAAAGATAATGGTGATGTCCTAGGTTATCTGCAATTCTTTTTCATTTTATACCTTGACTTTTCTGGCTTGAAGTAGAAACTTCTTCAAATAGTGACGTATGAAATATATTAATCTTCTTGCTATGGGTGGGTCAAAGTGTTTATGTCATGACCTTTTACAGAGTTAAATTCAAAATTTAATTAAACTACTTTGTTATCAATTTATATGAATAAACTTGACATATTAATAACAAATAGTTAATAACTCAAATTTTGATATGGTGTAGGTTTTAATTTCTTAATTTTATAAGGAAATATTTAAATAAATCCTCAATCTCCCCTAGTATGAGGATTGTGTCATATTTATCTAGGTCTTCTCACTTCTCTAATTTATTTACCACCCCTCTCTGAAGTATGGAATTTAACATAAATTATTCATTATAATATAGATATTACTAAGGCACAGTATAATTTTTATAGCCATCAATTTTCTTTGTTTATGGAGTCATAAACTAGAAATTCAGACCCACTTTTTTATGCTTACCTGTCACATCTGCTCTTTCACAAATTGTCAGTTATTTTCTCTGTTCCTTTATACTATATTATTTATAACCAATAGAAAGGAAAACTTTTAATCTCAGATGACATATAATGTTACATTATTTTCAGTACAGGGTATTGTCAATTTCTCCTTCAGTTTGAAAGTTTATTTCATGATGTACAGATTGAGCAGCTATAGGAACTAATTTAAGCCTCTCTTGTCTTAGTTAGAAAGCCAGTTAAATTATAATATTTATTATTTGCTTTGTGCATGTTATTCTATGTTCTTAGGTGCTAATGCACCTTAAGTAGATATAAATTTAGTGTACTGTTACCATTATAAAAAAAGTAAGTTTACATTTCACCTGCAACTGATAGCAAAAAACAAAAGGTCAGACTTAAGTACTAAATTTCTTGTTTTTCATGTATATTTTTTATTTATTGTTACAAAAGTAAAATTTAAAAATTAGACAGTTATTAGGCTAGATAAGGTAAGATAATGAAAATAATAATAATAGACATTCTTTAATGGGTATGCTCATCAATAGCTTTTGCATTATATCATTCAATACAATAATGTGAGCTATGCATTTGCTGAGTGATTTACAACTTATGTGGTGGGATTATTAGTTAGATGCAGTTCAGTGGGAAAAAAAACAATAAAATTAAATAAACATCTGTTTTGTAATGAGCCTTAAGCTGTTCAGGATAAACTGTTATAGTTTTCTGTTACAATTTGCAATCATTCTTAAAATAAAGGGTAATTTAGATTTATTTCATATTTTTATGGTGGTTACGAGGTACAGAAAAATATTAAGTTTTACCAAAAATTGTTTGTTTATTTAAGAGGTTTTCGAAGTTTCAAAAATGAAATTTGAAAATTTTTATATAAAGAAACTTGAAAATCACTTTGCACTTGGAACACTCAACACTCTTACTCAATGAATTCATGACAAAATTTTTAGTAAGAATAGTTAATTGAGAAATCTGATATTTTGTTTACAAAAGACTTAAATTTTAATAAAAGCTTGCCAAATTTCAAAAAGTGAAATTACTGTTTTACTTGTAGTATATCTTCATGATTTCATGTTGGTTTCAAGATCATGTAAAATACATGAACTCAAGCCCATAAGGTTAATGAATATTAAACTGCATCTTGGAGCACTCAACACTCTTACTCAATGAATTCATGAACAAATTTTTAGTAAGAATAGTTAATTGAGAAATCTGATATTTTGTTTACAAAAGACTTAAATTTTAATAAAAGCTTGCCAAATTTCAAAAAGTGAAATTACTGTTTTACTTGTAGTATATCTTCATGATTTCATGTTGGTTTCAAGATCATGTAAAATACATGAACTCAAGCCCATAAGGTTAATGAATATTAAACTGCATCGCATCAAATACAGTATTATGAGTAATATATTAATGAATATTAAAGAAGTTGAAATTAATTGGATATCTAAAAGAAAACTTTCTAATCAGTAACAAAAAAACACCAAATGCAAAAATGAAATATTTTTATGTCTCAAAACAGTGTCTTCCAAAACATTTTGGAAATTTTACATCTGAAAAAATGATAGAAATGTTAAATCAGAAGTATGGATTTTTTTAACCAGAAGCTAGACACGTTTTAGGAAGTTTACTAAGTCTTATGCAATTTGGTTAAGTATTTCCACTGTGAGAAAGAAAAAATCATAGCATCATGGATACTCTGTGATCTGGAAACAGTTAAGAAAGTTCTGTTTGTGTCACATAGAGTAAATACTTAATTGCCTCTGACTGTATAATTTCTCTTTTTTTTCAAATAAATTGTACTTTTGTAAAGTTTGATGAACTGGTTTTAGCTACTACTTGGTAGGTTGTTGAGACAATTTTATCTTAGTCAGAACCTTAGATGATCATATTGTTCAGTAGCATTTCAGCATTTACAGTTGTCCTATTACTTCCTATGAATTTGTTTTTATTTTTGTACAGCTGTTCTGTATAAGTTGACTTTGAAACATTAACCCGTTCCTGTTTTTCTTTGTCATAGCGGAAATATACTTCACTCTTTCAGCACGGGATTTGTCCCTGGGACTGACCTTTTAAGCATTTTGTGCTTATTGTAGTTTTCGTGCTATAACGTTGAAATTAATAAGTGTATGTTAATGAAATTCGGCAGCTTATCAGTAAACAATACAATGCTTTCATATGCAAAATATCAAATTTTTTATGAAGTCTTAAGGTTTGTAAAGCATAGTTTTTCTCATGTCCTTTTTTTTTCTTTTTGCTTGTTGATTATCCAACATGCAAAGTAATTTTCATTTTAAGATTAAAATACTTTTATGCATCAGAAACTTTTGAAATTTCACACGCAAAATCTTTATAATGTCCAGATAGTTATCAAACATTTTTAAGAAAAAATCTTTATATTTATCTATTATTTTCAATAATTAATCTCTGTACGGGTTTGGTAGATTTGACCGATCTCGCTACCACCATAAGAAATTAGGAAATAAACATAAATTATGAATCTTTCATTCTAGAATGAACACAAATTATAACACGAAAACATAAATTTTTAGATGAAATAACTTAAATCTTATAACATTATACATCTATATATATTTATTATTTTTTTTATATTGAACTTTCACCGGTGCCTGTCTAACAATATAGAAGTTACAATGATGTGGCTCACATGCACTCATGTTACTGTATCAAATAACGTAAAGGTGACCTTTGATCTGCACAAAGTAACTTGTCTTGGCTGTGTTTTAGTCGATTAGTATTTTGTAAAATACAGTCACATTTCAATTATTCTACATTATATATGTATATAGTTTATTGCTATTTTAAAATAAGTTCTTAAAGTTGTTTTTCCTGAAACACAGAACAGTAACTAAAGAAGTAAAGCAAACAATTATCTCTTCTAGTAATGACCTTTGTATTCAGTTGCTGTTTGACGTAGGTTGCTAAGCCTTTTAAAAATTTTATACATGGAGGATATGAAACAAAATATTTTTTTAGGTTTTATATATACTTTTGAATAACTAAAGCATCATAAATTACTACATCAATACCATAGAATTCTACTATAATTTATCAAGCTTAGTAACTAAGATGTATTTGGATCTAAAAAAAAATATGAAATTTCGAGGAGACTAAAGACCTACTTCATTGAAATCTTCTTTCAAAAGAAAGAAATGGCAGAAGGAAGGTTAAAAAGGCTGAGAAAACCACTAGGGGGACATTCTGGGCTTCCGATTGGTTATTAATGTCATATATAGCAGTAAGTGTATATAAGGGGGAATTTCCAAAAATGGAAAGAGGTGAGCAGGGTGCCACAGTGTTTAATTTATTACATGAGCAATATAATGGCAAATTGAAAAGATAAGAGATTCTTATTTTATATTCTAGCTTGTCAATATCTGTAATTTGAGTTTCTAATTCGTATGAAACTGTAGACTTAGTATTTTGACTTCACAAGCATCTAATTTGAACCAGTGCTGCATTCAACATACCACATGACTCACAAAAATCGAGCTTTTTTTTAATATTTACTTTTAAATTAACAACTTGAGTAATGTATAGTTCTAAAATACCAGAGTTATTGACATAAATTCATGAAATAGTAGTTCAATAAACTTTTCAATGCAAGTCAACAAACAAGATGACATGGCCTTTCACCTATAACCCATATCAAAAGAGTTAAAAGCATTGTTAAAATATTTTTCAGAGAACAAATATTTAATTAAATACTAAAAGGCACTGACCAAGTTTTCGTGGATCATTCATGTAAACAGAGTATTTAAATTTCATAAATGGATATTTAATTACAATTTTGTTATTTTAACAGATTTTTTCTACATTGATTGTTAAAAGCATTGTTAAAATCTTTTTCAGAGAACAAAAATTTTTGTTGGTCGTTTACCTGATGACTGCAACTCAACTGAACTCCAAGGATTATTTGAAAAATATGGGACTGTCACAGAATGTGATGTTATCAGGAAATATGGATTTGTGGTATGTTAAAGCGGATACTGTATTGTTGAACAGTATTATGTTACTTTGTAGTATGATATTTAAGTTAGAACAGAAAATCTTGTTAACTTATCTACATTACTCAACTAAATTTGTTTACCTTTTGGAAAGTAACTCTGTTTTGACCAGTATGTACCTTTCAGGTGTTGAATGCTCATCTGAGTATCAAATGTCAAAGTTTTAAGTAGAAATGTGATTTTAACTGTTTCAACAGTTTTTATTTATTTACTCAAAACTATTTTATTATTACATGATATTTAGTGTATTTCACAAAGAACAGTAAAAAAAAAGTCTTATAAACAGTGTATTTACTGATTTTTGTTGAATTTTTATGCCACCTCAAAGTGTAGGTTTATATTTGACAAGCAGCTATCATCCTTCACAATTACTGTGATTGATGTCTTATTTTTCATGTGATATTCCTGTATCATTGGTTTTGTTGTTGCAGTATGTGGTCTGAACAATTTCTGGTGAAGTTCAGCTCCAAAAATGGCAAGACCAACAGCTAAATATCATTCAGTAGAAGAAATTCTAATCTAGCTATGTCAATATAGAGTAAATGTAGTAGTTTTAACAGTAATATATGGTTTCTGAAATATCAGCATCCTGCAGCTCCTATAGGGATAGATAAAGGATTCTAATGGAGTATATACATACATAGGAGCAAACCATGAGTTGGGAATTTTTTATACTTTATTTTGATATTCCTTGTATTCCTG